GAGAGTGCAAGTGCAGGACGCTTTCATTATCACAGGAAGTTTCTTAGACGGGGCTGGGATACAGCGATGGGGGAGGGATGTTATTTTACTTATTTATAAATATATTTTTATTGATTTCAGGGAGGGAGAGATAGAAACATCAATGATGAGAGAGAATCACTGATCAGCTGCCTCCTGCACACCCCCTACTGGGAATCAAGCCCACAACTGGGCCCTGACTGGGAATCGAACCCATGATCTCCTGGCTCACAGGTCAATGCTCAACCACTGAGCCTGCCAACCAGGTAAGGGATGCTATTTTAGCTGGAATGTTGAGGGAAAGCCTCTCCAACAAGGAGGTATTTGAACAGAGATCTGAATGAAGTGAGGGAGTGAGTCAAGTTGCTACCTGAAGAGCTTCCAAATGAAAGAAAAATCATTTATTAAGATCCCCTTCAGCATTAAAATTTAGATTCAAAGTTCTTCAAAAAATGGTCTGAGTTTTAACCAGTTAACTGTCACGCATCCAAAATGAAAACCATCTCCACACGCCATGATATTTTCAATTCAATTTAAAAAATCAATTTGCAATGAATATTATAAAAATAAATATATTACAATTCTGGTGTTCTTGAATATTTTCAGCTGAAAATTTTCAGGAAAAATGATTTTAAAGTTGGTCAGGGCTGCCACTTAGAGAAAACATTTTTTTTTATAGACACACATGGCGTGTGGGGAAGGTCTGCCGCTTGCGTATATAGATGCTTATGGCATACAATGGGTTAGTTATTAGAATAAAGCACAGTACAAAAGAGAAATAGCAAAAATGTCATTTTTGTTTTGCAGAAAGCAATACTTCATGTGTTGCCTACTCTCTGTTTAAAAGCACTTATTAAAGACTCACAACATTAGAAACAAGGAATAGAATTTTTTCCCTTTAGTTCCTTTAAGCACAACTAAATATTATGAAATTCCTAAGCCATGATTCCTTATAAAGCCCTTTCTTAAAAGCTAAATTCTTCCCTTCCCAAATCCACCGAATACCTCTCAATTTATTAGCGTCACTTACTCCCTACATTAGAAACTGAAAAGTTATTTTTTAGTGCTATTTCCGCATGTTAGATTAACCAGGTGAACTACCTTTCAGATAAAATGTTGCCCAATGACTGCAAAATCTGTAGAGCAATAGAGAAATTTGAAGCAATGAGCCTATGTATTACCTTCCCCATCAGAGAGTACCATGCTCACCATTTCATATCTTAAATCCCAGGGCTCTCATGCATTCCTTGTGGGCCTCAATTAGGTGTCCACAGTGCTCTTCTCCTTTCTCAATAATGCTACAAAACAAAATGTACTTGTTATCTAACAAAGTAGCCATTAAGCATATTAGCAGTAAGTAAGCATGCATAATAGTGATGTGGAGTGAGGCAGAACATAGTCTGATGGAATGTAGCTGGAGTTCAAAAAAAATGTTCTTCTGGTTGGTCTAATAATCCAATAGGCTTGAGACATTAGCAAGAGAAAATAATCAAATGTAATACATACAGATGTATTGGGAACCCTGCATCCATAAGGGTCAGAGACTCCACACGCAGGCGCAGTTGAGACAGAAAGAGAACATGGGTATAGAAGACATCCTGAGCTAGGGATGAGGTAAGGTGCCTTGGGGGCTTTAAAAGGTCACTGCAGGATTTTAAAAGCAGATACTTAATACTTATAAGTTTGTCCTGCCCCATAAATAGGTCAAAAGAAGTTATTTCTGATCATCTCTTGTAGGCAAGGCCCCTAATTCAAGTTCTTCTAGGTAGTTAAGGGGGAAGGGGAGTGTGTGTGTGGGGGAAGGCAGATTCTCTTGAGGCCACAGCTAACATGGCCTTTAGCTCAAAACAACCTGCAAATCACAGAAGCATATCTTGGGGTGACTTGTTTTGAACGCCCCGTTTCAATTCTCCCTCCACAATATTATTTGCAAAGTACTAAGGATTAACAAAAAGCACTGGGCTCCTACAGCTCTTATTGACCTCATTATGCCACTTATATTTTCTTTGCCTTTTATGTAAGGACAAAAAAGGGGCTGAAGGGAAGTGTACATTCACATCTGAAAATTCCTAATAAGATTTGTTCCACAAGAGAGGCTGCATAAAATGAAAACGAACAAAAGCTTTTGTAGAATGATGGTAATCTAGAGGTACTCTCCTGAACACTACAATGTCTCCGAACAGTTATAAACTGACTTAAATTATCAACCT